GGTAGTTTGGTGGCGTTGTCCCTTGTTGTCATGACAGTGTCGTCCTTCTCCTTTTACTACCTCCTCCTAAAAGCGGCTGAAAACCTTCACAGTAAAATGACCCTGGCGATTATCAAGGCACCTGTAAAGTTTTTTGATTCGACCCCAGCTGGACGTATCCTGAATCGGTTCTCCAAGGATATTGGCTCTATGGACGACGTATTGCCACCGCTGTTTCTACAAGCCCTTATATTCTGCCTGTTCTCCCTGATCGCCATTTTGGTTCCCGCTGCAACAAACTACTGGCTCTTTCTGGCCCTTCTTCCAATAATTGGAATATTTGTTTACTTCGCCCGCTACTATCTGAAGTCCTCCAGAGAGCTGAAGAGAATTGAAGCCATCACATGCAGTCCTGTGTACTCACACGTCACTGAGACAGTAGATGGACTGGAAGTAGTGCACACTTCAAATATGAGCAAGACGTTTGTGGACAGACTAAAATGGTTAGTCTCAAGTTACCCGTTGGTTGCATCTAACCGCGGACATGTCACGAAGAACATGATCTATACTGCAAACGAGGAGTTCCCCAGACATAGTAACTCTTTAATTTGTTTGAAGGCTCATTTAGACAACTTGACAAGCAAATATCAACTATGTAACACCTTGGGTGCGAGACTCCTCGCGGTCTTGCAAACTTCCAGCTAGTCATGTTTTCTCGTGATGTGCTCGCCCTTAGATGCAACCAACGAAAATGAAAAGTCAAACGTTCTGATTTCGGATAATTTCTTTGCAAGATATTTGTCCTAATTCAGGGAGTAATCGGCCAAGTAATTTCAAAATCGGACGAGCCTGCAGCCCGAGGCCAATTTCAAATTACTAGCACGATTTCTCTCTATTATTGAACGACACGAGGTCCAACTACTATTTAATCGTATTTATAACAAATTGACGAAAACTGACGCGTGAATGTGAACGTAATTGACGTGTGAACTGCGAAAGTATCCAGTTAAAAGTATATCCAGTTACAAGAAGTCGAAATTGATACCTGTAATTGGGCACCCACGTGATCGCGCGCCGATTACGTGACAAATAGGCTTGCAGAGAACCAATCACGACCGAGAATTTTGTTATAGATGCGATTACGGTAGTACTAACAGAGAACCACGTAATGTTAACGCGATAAAATAGAATTCAAGTCTGTACTACGATGCGATTATACCTCAGTAAATTAATACAAGAAATGAATCGAATACTTTTTGTGAAGAAAAAAGTTTTTAACTATATTGGCGATATTTCGCACTTGACCCAGAGGTAAAAAGAGGACTTAAAACTTCTTCCCCAAATTATAGCGCCTTATATTTGTTTAAGGCTGGCTTTCCTGTCACTGAGTATCTCATCGGCTCTATTGATTTCTTATAACTCGGGTTTATAACTTCTCGCAATGTGTGATTATTTTTCTAGGTATCAGGACAAGAACACACAAGCGTTTTTCATGGTGATGTCTTCTAATCGTTGGTTGAGTATACGCCTTGATTTGCTGTCTACTGTGTTTGTCACGATTGTTGCAGTGGCGGCCATCTTGGCATCGGAGAGTCCCGGTCAGTACTCAACCTGAAACACATTCTTCTACTGAACAAATCTCGCACTCGTTGTGATCACAAATGGAGTCTGGTAGCTGTCCCTTCTCGATTATTTTTCTTTTTAATGAACAGTTCTTTTTTCTTTTCCTTTCCTTAGCTTTGGCCGGACTCGCCCTAACATACGCACTACAAACATTAGACGGCACTCAATATGGTGTACGATCAGCATCAGAGGTGGAAACCTTGATGACGTCCGTCGAACGTGTAATGACGTATACTGATATCGCTTCTGAGCCCGGTTACAGCACCGAGGAACGTCCCCCAGTGCCCTGGCCTAATGAAGGAAGCTTAGCCATAGAAGATCTGTCTTTCATTTACTTTGAAGGAGGACCTCGTGTCTTAAGGGACATCAACGTTCATGTTTCTAGTAAAGAGAAGGTGGGAGTTGTGGGTCGCACCGGTGCTGGAAAGTCATCTCTGGTATCAGCGTTGTTTCGTATGCCAGATCCTCTGGGAAAGGTAAGTTAATCGCTAAGACGAGAAATAATCAATAGCTCTAAAAAAAACTGCCAAAGAAATACGTTTTTACATTGTACAACTGTCTTGGGGGGCCTGAGCGTTTCTATTACAAGCTATTAGATAGGTTCGGGTAACCACTCCAACTAATAAATTGTCTACACCTATCTGCGTGGCTTAGGTTCAGTTCTGTTTCAAGTGAGCCTCTGAAAAGGCGACAAAATTACAGACTGTTTAAAGCGGGAAGTCCCATGCAAAACTCTTTTAGATACAGACGCCTTTCTGCCTAACCCACAGAGCTTCTCCAAATGTTCAGAATTTAGAAATAGCTTGTTTTTGTTTTCTTACAATTTTCAAATGCTTAACTAGAGAGCTTCACTCGGCGATTTGAAGTCGTCAGAATTGTTTATTCTCTGAAGCGTCTCACCTCACTACTGTACACTTCTTCAGAGAGTTCTACAAATGTAAACCCTGATGTCTACCTATTTAAGCCATACCAGCGACTAATTCAAGAAACACGCTCCTCCACACGTTTGGCTGGAATTACCAGTGCGAGGGGAACAACTGAAGCTAAAAAATATATAGGCAACGTCTGAAAACGTTTTGGGACTTTTTCGGGGGAACGATTTTAGTGAAAAGCTGTAATTCGACGTCAAGTCTGAATAACTTCCAGATATTTCATAGGAAGACAAAGACTTTTTATTTGCAAACTAGCCTGCGTAGCAAGCATTCCCATTCCGGCAACGCGCAAATTGAAGCGAGAGTTAAAACATTGACGAAAACCGATCGATTCTGAAAAACGCCCAGATTTTCATCGATTTTCATTGACTGACAACTTTTCGCTTAGCGCTAAAATTGAATTATTCAGGTGCGAACTACAAGACGGCACTTCTTTCAACTTGTTTCAAAGCGAAAATACCCCAAGTGTTCAGAAAAAAAGTGCTTTCTGTTTGTATTAAGTCATAGGGTCGCAAAGTTTGACTGCAAGTTTTTTTTATATGTAAAAATCAACTAACGGAACAACTTACCGATGAACACTTGTCAGTCAACATGACCACGCTGCACCAATCAGAAGCCCCGTTCGTTAGCTAATGGGTTTTTAGAATCGAGGGGTTTGGGGGCAACGGGCAAGCGTTCCCTAGCTCGTCCCACCATCCCCTGCTTCGTCAGCGATTTTTTTGCTCTCGCTTAAACTTGCGCTTGGACAGAATATAGACAAAGCTCTTCGTACGGGAACGTTCGCTACGCTGGTCATTGACAAACATTCCCCTGCGTGTTAGGTGTTAATCGATGGTGTGGACATTGGATCCATCAATCTCCAAG